ATAAAGCCACTAGTAAGCCAAAATGTCTGTCAACGTCAACCGCAGCGTGTCAGACCAGTTCTATCGCTACAAGATGCCCCGTCTGATTGCCAAGGTTGAGGGCAAAGGAAATGGAATCAAGACAGTTATAGTCAACATGGTTGATGTTGCAAAGGCGCTTAATCGGCCTCCAACGTATCCCACCAAATATTTTGGTTGTGAGCTGGGAGCACAGACCCAGTTTGATGTTAAGAATGACCGTTACATTGTCAATGGATCTCATGAGGCAAATAAGCTGCAAGACATGTTGGATGGATTCATTAAAAAATTTGTTCTCTGTCCTGAGTGTGAGAATCCTGAAACAGATCTGCATGTCAATCCGAAGAAGCAAACAATAGGTAATTCTTGTAAAGCCTGTGGCTATCGAGGCATGCTTGACACACATCCTAAACTCTGCACGTTCATTCTCAAAAACCCACCTGAGAATAGTGACAGTGCTACAAGGAAGAAAGAAAAGGAAAAGAAGAACAGGAAGGGCAAAGACAAGGAGAACGGCTCCGTATCCAGCAGTGAAACACCACCACCACCACCGCCAAATGAAACCAGTCCTCCTCCACATGCTGTGGGAGAGGAGGAGGAGGATGACCGGGGAGAGGATACAACTGAGGAAGCTCAGAGGCGCAGAATGATGAAATCAGTGACCATGCGAAGGTTCTGACGCTCAGTGACCACTTGGAGAGGACTGTGGAAGAGCGCGTCAACATCCTGTTTGATTTTGTTAAGAAAAAGAAAGAAGAAGGTGTCATTGACTCATCTGACAAGGAAATTGTCACGGAGGCAGAAAGGCTGGACGTGAAAGCCATGGGCCCTCTTGTTCTGACTGAAGTTCTCTTTAATGAGAAGATGAGGGAACAAATTAAGAAATTCAGGCGCCGTTTTCTAAGATTTTGTCACAACAACAAAAAAGCTCAGCGGTACCTTCTTCATGGTTTGGAGTGTGTGGCAGCAATGCGTCAAGCTCAGCTCATCTCCAAGATTCCACACATCTTGAAGGAGATGTACGATGCAGACCTTGTAGAAGAAGAAGTCATCATCAGCTGGTCGGAAAAGGCTTCTAAGAAATACGTCTCAAAAGAACTTGCCAAAGAGATGCGTGTCAAAGCAGAGCCATTTATTAAATGGTTGAAGGAGGCAGAGGAGGAGTCTTCTGGTGGTGAAGAAGATGATGAAGATGAGAACATTGAGGTGGTGTATTCGAAGACTGCCAGTGTACCGAAAGTTGAAACTGTGAAGTCTGACAACAAGGATGACGACATTGATTTTGATGCCATTTAAAGGGCCGGATGCAACCTAGCTTAACAGTGTAATGCTGCAACTTTTTCTCCATTATCAGCCAGAAGTGCAACATGTATGTGCAAAAGCTAAAATAGCTTAACATCATGCTACACTCTATACTAAGAAAATCTATTACTGTGAGTCATCTGTATTTAAGCCCAGTGAGACATCTAGGGAGTCCATACACATCAGCGAGCAGATAGAGTTTGCTTATTTTATAGCATGTTTCTTTTTGAAAAACTAGTGATGGACACATTTGGATCACATTTATACAGTTAACAAAAATAAAGATTTGATTTTGGTCATTCTTAAGATTTTTGGCTCTGAATGACTTTGGCTGAAGTAATTGGTTCCTTTTATAATGTACCATCATTTAACCTGATAGGATTCTTGGAGCCTGTGATACGTTGTTAGGTGCTAAGACCATAATGAGGTCTTCAGAGTGTAAGTGTGTGTATTTGTAATGACTTTATTCAGCCACTAAGAAATACAGTACTTGGAAAGTTTTACCTCTGGTCCCACGGATTGGTGTTTGGTAATGCACGTTTAGGCGAGGTAGACTGCTGATCAAATGACAGCGCAACATCTGAGGAGCAGACGTGACCTGAGTGTCCTGTAAACGTTGATTAAGAGCAGGTTTTGAAACTTGAAATTTTGTTTTTTCCAGTTTGTGTACAATTTCCCCAAATTTATAGTCTTTGAAGTCGTGTGCATTGCACGTTGGATGAGCCAGGGAAATGACTACTACATTAACAAGCAAGCATTGTATGTGTGTGTAGTGGTTGCTTTGTACTAAGAGAACACAAATTCTGAGGTGTGATTACATAGTCAGCTGATTTTATTTGGGGGAAACAGGTAAAGGTGCACTTAATCTCTAGCAGAAACTGAGCATAGTTTTTAGCTTTTACCATTATGGTTTAAATTATAACTTCCGAATGCTTAGACATACTGTATATTTCGTTCAGTGTGATTTTTCCCTGAATACTAAGGTTGTTCTTGAATGCCTTTTCCACTTGAACCACATAGCTTACGCTTTCTAGATTTTGGTTGCTAGCTTGCCAAAATAAGTGTTACTGTGTTTCAAATTTGATTTTTGTTTTTCTGTCTTATTTTAAAAATAAGGTTAAAAGCATATTTCTAAGTCGAAGCCTCTATTTTGGTGTAAGACTTGGGATATTTTTTACTTCACATTGAATCTACGCAGACACCCGAGAGGTCTGTGACGCTGGCTCTGAGTGCGGGTGACGGGGGACTCTGCCGGCCCTGCAGGGCTTCGGGTTTGGACCTGTGAGAGAATTCCTTGCCCAGTTAGCTAATGTAAACTCACTTGATCAGAGTTCTGACTATATTTGAGTAATCATCTTCAAGATGGAAAATTGTTGTGTTTATTCCTTTCTGCAAGAAGTGCACTGTGGGAACTGGGAGTCCGTATGGTTAAGCTTGTTTGGAGGATTTTCACAGCGTTTCCTTATTTCCTTGTGACCCATCTCACAGATTATGAGACTTTAACAAATGTATGTAAAAAATTTTTTCACATTGAAATTATACAGACATTTGGTAAAATAAAACCTTGTTAGCTTGATATTCTAAGGAACTGAAACCTAGCAATCTTATTTGAGAGAGTTTATTTACAACTGCCTTTGGTAGATTCTGATGAGAGTGGAACAGGAGCCATATGCCTGGATGGAACGTGCTGTGTCACATCAAAGAGGGGAGTTTTGCAAACGCATATGTCGCCTAGGTTTCAAATTTTGCTGTATGGCCAGTTTGCTTTCATCAACTGAAATACCCATAGGAGATCCTGGTGACCTAAGTTGTACTCAACAGTGTCAAGCTAATGAGGTTCTGTTATAGAGCTCTTTACTTTTAACCTGAAGGAAAATATGTTTAGGGCTTCTCAACACTAAAGAAAAAATTTTGGCTTGGACTAATGTTTAGTCTGGTGCCAAATTTCCAGTGGAATTCCAGTTCACGTAATCTGTTGAATTTTATTCATGGAGGGTATCCTAACAGAGTGATCCTTCACTGCTCTATTGAACTGTCTTAAAATTTCCTGTTCCAAACAGCTACGTTACTTGATTAAAACAATTAAAATTAAAAAAAAAGAAATGTTTTGTTTCTTTGAGGGTGTCATGTTGTCTTCCTATTCTGGTTCTTGAATTGCTGTATTTATTATTATCAGGCATCTGTGGGGATACCTGTGGTTGGGTTTGTTGTATTCCCTGTGATGGCTTTATCTTTGAACTATACCTCTGTGTTTTAGTGGAGTGTCTGCTCTCAGTGAATACCCAGAGGTGTGTACTGGTGTGGTCCTGGAGCTCTGCTCAGTGCTGCAGGGTGAAGGGAGTGTCCAAGGTGAGACCCACATTCAGCGAGGTAAATCTCCTCCATTTTTTTTAAATCAGAGGGGAGGTGTATTCTGCTAGGGAGGTGTATTGTCATGCTCACCAGCTTTCCTCAAAGGAGACCAAAGCTTAAGTGCTATCCCTAGTGGGTTCATATTCATCTGTGCTGCCACAAGAACAGGACAAATGATGTGTGCAGTCCTTGGAGTGAACATGGATACTGCAGCAATGACTGTCACCACGGAGTCCCAAGTAATTGCTCTGAGGTAGCGGAAACACACCTATCACAGGACATGTGACCAGTGGACAGTGGTCATGGCCTCATTGGGTCCTAATTTTTGCTGCACCAGGCAACACAGTGAGCTGATACAGCGATGAAGTCACCTCTTGATGGCGTGAATGAGGTAACAGCTTGCAGCTGACCCACAGTGAGGTTGGAGCACCATCTTTCAGGTTGCAACATAGATCATACACCAATGAGCATCCTGTGATGCTGAGACCACAATACATACAGCTCCACTTTCATGGAATTTCCTTGTGAAAAATTCCTGATTTATATCCGCCTCAGCACGCAATCTCAGGTGTTCCCCTCAACCACAGACTTCTCAAGGAAGACTGTTACCTATGTGGCTGTTGTGCCCCAACCCTCAGATGTGGTTATAGAGGAAAGGAAAGAAGACAACTAGCATTGCAACATCTGTGCAAAATTCAAAAGAGGGTTTAGCATGGTTTTTGAGAGTGAACTACAGATCCATCAGAACACCTTGAGCTTTATATGAGAAATGTTTTCAAGGATGTGCTTAGGAGGGTTGGGAACGGTCTTAGATTGGGCCACATCTAGAGAAGACCCAGAGACAGGGTTTTTTGAGAAGTAGTTCATTTGGGAGAAGATCCCTACAGTCAGTGAAAGAAACTGGGTAAATGAGCAGGGCAGGCATGGAAGCCAAAACAGAGTGAGAGAGTGAGAAGAGGACTCCTGGATGTGGCTGGGCTTCATCCCACCAAGGACACTGGAGACTGGCACAGACGTCCCCACTGGGGAAGCAGTCAGTGAGGACCACTTGTGCTCACCACCTCCTGCCCTGGGTGACCACTGTGCTCAGAGGCTCTGACTCTCCTGCCCAGGGCTCATGCCTTCCTCCAGAGAGTCCTCATGCAGAGAGTGGAGGAGCCTGCTCGAAGCAAGCGTCCTCCCAGGTTGTGATGAGAGTGCAGAGGGAGTAGAGGTAGCACTCGGAAATCACCTGCAGCTTCTTCTCTTCCTCAGAGAATACTCAGACAAACTGCCAGATAAAGATGGACTTTCCATACAGAGAAATAATGAGACACAATGTACTTGGATTTGTATGCTTGAAAAAAATCAGATTTATTCAAGATGTGAGAATATCTTCATAAGAGAAAACATGGCACAGAGCAAAATTTTCCATTGCAGAGACATGATAGTGGCCAGATTTCAGAGATTTGTGTTTGGAAGACAAAAGTACGTGGCAGTTGTAGGGAGTGATGTATTGGAGACCAAAACTCCATCTAAAATTTCATTAGAAATGAAAGTTCAAAATTGGGCCCTCACAATACAGCACATAGACTGACTACATCAAGAGTATTAGTTCATGAAGAACAGGTGAGTGGAGGTGAAAGGCTCAGCAGCAAGAACCACTAGAGCAGCAGGGGCGGCAGCAGGTGGACACACAGCAGCTGGGGCGGCAGCACTGAGTTCTACAGCAGGTGGTCTGGCAGCAGATGGGCCTGCAGCAGCTGGAGATGCAGCAGGTGGGGCGGCAGCAGGTGGGGCGGCAGCAGCTGGAGATGCAGCAGGAGGGTCTGCAGCAGGTGGGGCGGCAGCAGGTGGGCTGGCAGCAGGAGGGCTGGCAGCACACAGACTGGCAGCACTGGGGCCTGCAGCAGCTGGAGGTGCAACAGGTGGGGCTGCAGCAGCTGGGCTGGCAGCAGGTGGGCTGGCAACAGGTGGGGCGGCAGCAGGTGGGCTGGCAGCAGGAGGGCTGGCAGCACACAGACTGGCAGCACTGGGGCCTGCAGCAGCTGGAGATGCAGCAGGTGGGGCGGCAGCAGGTGGGCTGGCAGCAGCTGGGGCGGCAGCAGCTGGAGGTGCAGCAGGTGGGGCGGCAGCAGGAGGGCTGGCAGCAGCTGGGGCGGCAGCAGGACTCCTCCTGGCAGAAGTCTTGGCCACAGCCCTGCTCAGAGCAGACGGAGCCACAACAGGAGTTGACCATGGTGTCAGAGGGTGGAGGTTGCTGTGGGTTTACAGATGGTGGGTTTGTGAGGTGTGGGTGTCTCCCTGACTGTGGTCCCTTTTTATACCCTGTTTAGGAGCTGCTGGCATCAGGTACATTGCTCTTTCCTTGTTACTGTTTGTCCTGATAAATAGGTGATTATTAAATTAGCCAAGTGTGTTTTCCTGCCTGAAATGTTCAAACTAGGTGGGAAACATTATTTCCCTTTCCTGGAGTGCTGGGATTCATGGGTCAGCTCTTCTTGAATCACTTGCCATGTGTCGTTATTGTTGAGTTTCTCAAGGAAAGCTGTCATGTGACACTCGTCTTCTTGGTGCTGTCTGCCTCTGTGTCGTCATACTTAGCACATCATGTGGACTCCAGTTTTGTAAGGATTCTTCTAGGTCCCTATCTTCCTTTTGCCAATCCAGGCTGATAGAGTTCCATTCCAGAGTGATAACAGGTCCATTATCTGTAAGATGGGCAGGAAACAAACCCTGAAAAAGACCCTGGGCATGAAGAGAAAAAGGCTTCTAGGACACATCCCTTCCCTCTGTGGAACACGACCCAGTGATCAGACTTTTTCATGAGAAACAGAAATGTTTTAAGGAAGAAATCTAAGTGGTGAAGTTTTTATGTTGCTATTTCTTTTGAAACATCTTCAAGTCTCAGGCCCACCTGGACAGACTGAGTAGTATGATCACCTGCACCTTCATGGTTAGGTCTTCAGCTCCCCCCCAGGACTGGTTTCCTTGTCCCTTTGACTTCTTGTCCCTTGGCTTTACAAGATGAACTAAGTGGTGTCCTCTGTTTCCCTGACTTACTGTCCAAGGCAGCTGAGGGAGATTGCCCCGTGTTCTGGTGTCTTCTCTAACCTGCACACAGCCATCTTCCTGTCTCTGTTGAGTCTCAGCCCTGACGATGCTCTAAAAGTAGGTCATGTGACTTGTCTTACACAGTGGCCTCCATTCCATCCATGTTGTTGTGGGTGACACGATTTCATTTTTATGGCTGAATGGTATTCCTTCTTGCATGTGCAATATTTTCTTTATTCAAATGGACACTTAGGTGTTTGCATTTCTTGGCTGGTTTGATTAGTGCTGCAGGAAACATGGCAGTGCAGATGTCTCTTTAGCAATCTTATTTCATTTCCCTTTGGTAAATACCCCGTAGTGTGGCATCAACATAGATGATCTCATAGAAGTAAAAAGGTGGTTACTAGAGGCTGGGGAGAGAAATAGTGAAGAAGGGATTGGGAAGGTTAATTAACAGGTCCTACATTGTAGCTATGGAGAGGAGGTCTGGGTTCTATTGCACAGCAGGGTGACTGCACAGAATGTACTGCAAAGTGTCTAGTACTAGATGTTTTCACCCTGAAGAAATGTTGAACTTGTTCAGATGTAGATATGTTTGCTCTGATTGGTTATTATACTTTTTAAACTTTTATTTAGTAAATATAAATTTCCAGAGTACAGTTTGTGGATTACGATGGCTCCCCCCCCATAACTTCCCTCCCACTCGCACCACTCCTATCTCCCGCTCCCTCTCCCATTCCTTTCACATCAAGATTCATTTCCAATTATCTTTATATACAGAAGTTCGATTTAGTATATATTAATTAAAGATTTCATCAGTGTGCACCCACACAGAACATAAAGTGTAAAATACTGTTTCAGTACTAGTTATAGCATTACTTCACATGGGAAAACACATTAGGACAGAGATCTCACATGAGGAGTAAGTACACAGTGACTCCTGTTGGTGACTTAACAATTTGACACTCTTGTTTATGGTGTCAGTAATCTCCCTAGGCTCTAGTCATGAGTTGCCAAGGCTATGGAACCCTTTTGAGTTTGCCGACTTCAATCTTATTCAGACAGGGTCATAGTCAAAGTGGAAGTTCTCTCCTCCCTTCAGAGAAAGGTGCCTCCTTCTTTGATGGCCCCGTTCTTTCTACTGGGATCTCACTCGCAGAGATCTTTCATTTAGGTGGTTGTTGTTGTTGTTGTTGTTGTTGTTGTTGTTTGCCAGAGTGTCTTGGCTTTCCATGCCTGAAATACTCTCATGGGCTCTTCAGCCAGATACGAATGCCTTAAGGGCTGATTCTGAGGCCAGAGTGCTGTTTAAGACATCTGCCATTCTGTGAGTCTGCTCTGTATCCTGCTTCCCATGTTGGATCGTTCTCTGCCGTTTTTATTCTATCAGTTAGTATTAGCAGACACTAGTCTTGTTTGTGTGATCCCTTTGACTCTTAGTCCTATCAGTATGATCAATTATGAACTGAAATCGATCACTTGGACTTGTGAGATGGCATTGGTACATGCAACCTTGATGGGATTGTATTGGAATCCCCTGGCACATTTCTAACTCCACCATTTGGGGCAAGTCCAATTGAGCATGTCCCAAATTGTATATCTCCTCCCTCACTTATTCCCACTCTTATACTTAACAGGGACCACTTTTCAGTTAAATTTAAACACCTAAGAATAATTATGTGTTAATTACAGAGTTCAACCAATAGTATTAACTAGAACAAAAAATACTAAAAGGATGAAGTATTAAATTGTACATCAACAGTCAGGACAAGGGCCGATCAAGTCACTGTTTCTCATAGTGTCCATTTCACTTCAACAGGTTTCCTTTTTTGTGGTTGGTTAGTTGTCACCGATCAGGGAGAACATATGATGTTTGTCCCTTTGGGACTGGCTTAATTCACAATGTGTGCATGTCTCAGACATCACAGGGAACTCATGACTATATACTATTTTATATGCCTGTAAAAATTTAGAAAAAAAAAACTTTAAAGAAAGCAGTTTCTAGATCAAAGAGAATCATCTTATATTTATTTGAGGTGGAAACTTACAGGGTCAGAAATGCCCAAACTAATTCCTGGACCACTACTGTGTCATATGATGAATGCCGCCAGTCAATCCATGGGCCCTGTGCCAAGGAAATGGTGGGCAGAGACGAGGTGTAACCTGGATGAAACACAGGACGAGGAAGTCCCCATGGTGACTCCTGGAGTTGGACTGGCAGATATCGGGCACCCCCAAGATCACAGCTGTCCGATGGGGAGGGCACGGGAACAGAGAGTGGGGGTTGAAATACACACATGCACTGGAACCTGAGGCCTAAAGCCCTTGGAAGGCATAGAGCTCATGGAAGGGGTAAAGCCCACGGAAGGGGTAGATCCCACGGAAAGGCATAAAGACCATGGAAGGTAGAGAGTCTGTGCAAAGGCATAGAGCCTGGGAACAAGCATAGAGCCCATGGAAGGTGTAGAGCCCATGGAAGGTGTAGAGGTGTGGAAGGCATTGAGCTAGTTGTCAGAATTCCAAAATCCCGTAGCACCACACATCCCCAGGAGGAGAGTAAGGTCAACCTGGACCCAGGTTTCAGCACCAAAGAAAGGCCACCACAAAACAACACCAAACAACAGAGAAAGGGAAAAGGATTATTGCCAGGTGGGGGAAACCTGACAGCTGCCCGTGTGCTCAAGAGAACAGAACCAAACATGGTTTTTAGTTTTGTATTTCTTTTCTTCTTCTTTTGTTAGTCTGACTATAAATTTCCAGAGATTTGTCATCTAAAACAGATGCTCTTTCTACTGTCTCACCAAGTCTGTACTTAAGGCTCCCCATCATATTCTATTGAATCCTTCATTGCCAATATTTCATTAAGATTTTCTTTAAAAATCTCAATTTCGTGGGAAAAAATTTCATTCATGGCATGTACGATTTCTTTCGTTCATGAATTTGCTTCTGATTACTTCTAAGGAATGCTATGATCAGATTTTAATTCCATTTCTGGAATTTCTTCAATCATTTAATATTCACGTTCTATTATTGAAGTGTTCTGTTATTTGGGGGCGTCGTGTTGTCTTCCTATTCTGGTTCTTAAATTGCTGCATTTATTATCAGGCATCTGTGGGGATACCTGTGGTTGTCATTGTTGCTTTCCCTATGATGGCTTTATCTTTGAACTACGCCTCTGTGTTTTAGTGGAGTGTCTTCTCTCTCAGTGAATACCCAGAGGTGTGTACTGGTTGTGGTCCTGGATCTCTGCTCAGTGCTGCAGGGTGAAGGGAGTGTCCCAGGTGAGACCCACATTCGGCGAGGTAAATCTCCTCTATTTTTTTTAAATCAGAGAGCAGCTCTGTTCTGCTTTGTAGGTGTATTCCCATGCTCACCAGCGCTCCTCCAAGCCTAAGCGCTAGCCCTCGTGGGTACAATATTCATCTCCGCAGCCATAAGAACAGCATAAAGGACCTGAGGAGTCGTCGTTGTGATCCTGGATCCTGCAGCAATGACTGTCACCAGGGCGACCTATGTAACTGCAGTGAGGCAGCGAGGCCAGCGGAAACACGTGTATCACAGGACATGTGACCAGTGAACAGTGGTCAAGGTCTCAGTGGGTCCTAATATTTGGTGCACCAGGCAAACACAGTGGGATGGTACTGTGATGAAGTCACCTCTTGATGGCGTGAATAAGGTAACAGCTTGCAGCTGACACACTGTGAGGCTGGAGCACCATCTTTCAGGTTGCAACATAGATAATACACCAATGACCATCCTGTGAAGCTGTGACCACAACAGATATAATACGTCCATACAATAAAAAGAGCAGATGAACAGACTTCCTGTTCACTTTCAATCCTGAGGATGCATTTGGGGAATTCTGTGCATCCTCCAGTGAAGCTTTAGCCCTTATGAATCCAGAGGGCCTGGATCTAGAGGGCAGGTGCCACCTCCAGGAGACATGGTTTTGACCTCTTTATCACTTTTGGGTACTCGAGCTATGGAGTCCACAAGCAAAGAAAAAGAGCTATTCACTCTGGTGACGGATGCTCACTGTGTGAGCACTGCCACACAGTGGGGACAGAGACAAGGAAATTCATCACAGGTAATGCTGGGGGCACCAGGCATTACTAATTTCAGTTCATGTTGTAATTGGATAGGGAGAACAGCTACAGTCTATCTGGACAACCAGACATGACGCCCACTAAACCACCTCTTGTCACTTTCTTTAGAAATTGTGGCCCAGCAGTTGCAGTGACCAGAGAAAGAGAGGTAGACGGACCTGAGCCATGCGCAAGTCCATGATTCAGTGCCAGGTCTGGGTATCTGCTGACAGAGAGGTGCTCCTACACCCTAGTCAGTGTGGGTGGGGATTGCTGGTGGCTCTCAGTGTCCACCTGCACTGCTACCAGAAGTCTCCCAGCTCACAGGAATCACCTCATCTGGGTGGCTCTACCCACTCTGCACCCTCTCCTGACTGCTGGGCATCCAGCTCTAGTGAGGTCTGATGTATGGACATGAAGCTCGCACCACCTCCGCTCTGGTACCAACTGCACTGGGAAGCTTCGTGTAGGGTCAGAATATCACTGGCATGCAACACTGGGCTTCACTGCTTCTACCAGCATGTCCTACCTGCCTGAGTACCTAGAGATCTCCCCGAGAGCACTTTCATGGAATTTCCTTGTGCAAGAATTCCTGATTTATATCCCCCTTAGCACGCAATCTCAGGTGGTTCCACTCAACCGTAGACTTCTTCAGGATGATGGTTACCTGTGTGGCTGTTGTGCCCCGATCCTCTGATGCGGTTATGAAGGAAAAGAGAGAAGACAACTAGCATTGCAACATCTGTGCAAAATTCAAAAGAGGGTTTAGCACGTTGGTTGCAGGTGAACTACAGATTCACAGTGCACCACAGCAACCTTGAGTATTACATGAGAGATGTTTTCAGGATGTTCTTAGGGAGGTTCGGAACAGTCTTAGGTTGGGCCACCTCTAGAGCAGACCCAGAACAAGGGATTTGAGAAGTAGTTCATTTAGGAGATGATCCCAAAATCAGCGTAAAGAACTGGGTGAATGAGCAGGGCAGTCATGGAAGCCAAAACAGAGTGAGAGAGTGAGAAGAGGACTCCTGGATGTGGCTGGGCTTCATCCCACCAAGGACACTGGAGACTGGCACAGACGTCCCCACTGGGGAAGCAGTCAGTGAGGACCACTTGTGCTCACCACCTCCTGCCCTGGGTGATCACTGTCCTCAGAGAAACTGACTCCTGCCCAGGACTCACGCCTTCCTCTAGAGAGTCCTCGTGCAGAGAGTGGAGGAGCCTGCTCGAAGCAAGCGTCCTCCCAGGTTGTGATGAGAGTGCAGAGGGAGTAGAGGTAGCACTCGGAAATCACCTGCAGCTTCTGCTCTTCCTCAGAGAATACTCAGACAAACTGCCAGATAAAGATGGACTTTCCATACAGAGAAATAATGAGCATAATGCACTTGGATTTGTATGCTCGGGAAAATTCAGATTTATTCAAGATGTGAGAATATCTTCATAAGAGAAAACATGGCTTAGAGTAAAATATCAAAATTTTCCATTGCAGAGACATGATAGTGGCCAGATTTCAGAGGAGTTTTCTTTAGGAGAGAGAAAGTACATGGTGGGGTTAGGGAGTGACATATTTGGAGAACAAAATTCCCTGATAAAATTTCATTAGAAATGAGGGTTCACACTTGGGCCCTCACAATACAGTGCATATACTAACTCCATCAAGAGTATTAGTTCATGAAGAACAGGTGAGTGGAGGTGAAAGGCTCAGCAGCAAGAACCACTAGAGCAGCAGGGGCGGCAGCAGGTGGACACACAGCAGCTGGGGCGGCAGCACTGAGTTCTACAGCAGGTGGTCTGGCAGCAGATGGGCCTGCAGCAGCTGGAGATGCAGCAGGTGGGGCGGCAGCAGGTGGGGCGGCAGCAGGAGGGGCGGCAGCAGCTGGAGATGCAGCAGGTGGGTCTGCAGCAGGAGGGCTGGCAGCACACAGACTGGCAGCACTGGGGCCTGCAGCAGCTGGAGATGCAACAGCTGGGGCGACAACAGGTGGTTCTGCAGCAGGTGGTCTGGCAACAGGTGGGCCTGCAGCAGCTGGAGATGCAGCAGGAGGGTCTGCAGCAGCTGGAGATGCAACAAGTGGGGCGGCAGCAGGTGGGCTGGCAGCAGCTGGGGCGGCAGCAGGACTCCTCCTGGCAGAAGTCTTGGCCACAGCCCTGCTCAGAGCAGACGGAGCCACAACAGGAGTTGACCATGGTGTCAGAGGGTGGAGGTTGCTGTGGGTTTACAGACGGTGGGTTTGTGAGGTGTGGGTGTCTCCCTGCCCCTGCTCCCCTTTTATACCCTGTTGAGGGGCTGCTGGCATCAGGTGCAGTGCTCTTTCCTTGTTATTGTTTTCCCTGATAAATAGGTGATTAGCAAATTAGGCTAGTGTGTTTCCCCGCCTGAAATTTCTCAGCAGATTGGAAACATTATTTCCTTTTCCTGGTGTGTTAGAGTTCAGCCCATCGGCCCTTCCTGAATCACCTCCCGTGTGCTGGTGTTGAGCTTCTGCAGGAGCAGTCATGTGGCATTCACACTCTGGGCTCTGCAGCTCAGTCCCACGTGGCTGTACCTCCAGTGTCCTCAATTCTCCTGGACTGTGAGGACTTCTGGTGGCTCAAGTGGGTAGATGTGCGTCGTTGTCAGATCCCATTCCCTGCGTGACAGGGGGACAAGACATTGGGACTCTGAAAAGAGGCCCCAGACAGTAGAACAACAAGGCTGGGAGGACATGTCCTGTCTCCACTCTGAATCACAGCCCTCTTTCTAAATTTTTCATGGAAAGAAACACAGAACTGTTTCAAGGAAGAAAACTGTGCTGTGATTTTTTTTCTCCATGCACAAACATCTAAGTGAGTTTTAGGAACTTGAGGAATCTGGATGCAGAAATGAGCCTCACCACACAGTTCAGTCCCCTCCCCTTCCTCCTCTTTGGACTGCTTCTCATCACCTGTTCTTGGCTGACAGGTGTGTGACCTGTGGCCTGTGTCCAAGCCAAACCAGAGGACCCCAGTGTCCTGGCCTCTTAGCTTAGCTCACCCCTTCCATTTCTCTCTGCTGATCCCAGATCCGAGGGTGCACTCTCTACCTTGCTATTATTTAAAAGATTTATGCATTTTATGAGTTATACAGAGAGAGGAGAGGCAAGTAGAGAGAGAGAGGTCTTCCATCACTGGTTCATTCCCCGATTGGCTGTCAACAGCTGAACCTGCGCCTATCTGAAGCCAGGAACCAGGAGCTCCACTTGAGTGCAGGGGCCCAAGGACTTGGTCCATCTTCTGCTGCTTTCCCAGGTCATAGCAGAGAGCTGGATCAGAAGTGGAGCAGCCGGGACTTGAACTGGTGCCCAAATGGGATGCTGGCACTGCAGGCCACGGTTTAACCTGCGACACCACAGTGCCAGGCCCTCTGCCCTGCTTTTTTATTGAAGTCATTGCTCAGATTTCACTCTCTAGTCATTGATTTCAACCAAAAAAAAGCTCAGAGCAAAATAAAGTGAAGTAGAAATAAACATCTCGATCCATGGGCACCCACTTACATTTGATCATAGCGGGGATGAGATGAAAGCCCGGAGGCTGCAGCAATGCCTGCCAAGTTCCTGGGCCACCATCACTGTGCATGAGGTGCTGAGTGGGGCTGCCAGTCCACCCCTGCCCATCTGGGCCAAGGAAAGGGGCAGCAGGGACAAGGTGGTAACTGGGGTGGCAGCTCTAAGTATCTTAGTTAAGATCCTCTAAGACCAAACCCCAGCAGCATTTTAATCACATGTATTTCCTTATCAAACGAGTGATTGACAGGTTTTAGTCCTATGCTTATGTGTGCAGAGCAGGAAAGATGTATGCAGATGTACTGTGAAGCAGCCTGGTGTCCCGAGGGGCCAGATTCTCACGGGATTTACTGTATGAAAGTAGGGAAGAACAAAACCTAAAAGAGAGAGTTGTGGATTATCAGGAGAGAAGTTTCTACACAGGTTGAGGGAGGTTAAGTGAACTCTCACCACAGCTACAGGGGCGCAGCTCAGGCTCCTTACAGACCCTTGTGCAGAGTCACAGCCCTAAGCCAGGGGCCCTCCATGTCGGCTGCTTGTTGCAGTGAAAAACTGCCAGACTGGCTCCTGCCCAGGGACACGCTGATTTAATTGGTGTGGGATTTGGCCTGGAGGAGAAGTTTTTATGCTTCTCAAGTAAATCCAGGGATAACAAAGCTTGAGAAGCACCACCTCTTTTTTTTTTCTCATTTGCATGCAACTGTGGAAGTTTATGCTGGGAACATAAGTAGCTAAAAATAATTAAAATGTAACTGATACTAACAAAATAATAGAGAAGATGACCCTGAATTTGAAATACTGAGTTTTGAACATGGCAGTCGGAAACAGTGGTGATTTTCTTTTACTCTTTGTTTTCCTGATTTTTTTTTTACTCTTTAGGTCACTCTAATACCATAACGCATAGTCTTACCTGGATAAGAATGAATCTCTAGAGCATGAGCCATAGTGGATGATTTCTGCAGAGAGCACCCTGGGTTATTTGGGAAGAACCTCAGAACCAGGACAGCCAAGACTCTGTATACTGCCTGATGAGTTTACCCATAAGTAGGGTAGTAGAATTGATAATTTTTTAAGTATACACATATGATTTTACACACATATGATTAACTCTTCTAAGTAAAGAGCTCCACAGATTGTATGAAAAAAAACTGACCGTCAACAGTTAAGACAAGGGCTGTTCAAAGTTTTTGCATCTCAAAGTGTTAATTTCTCCTCTAGAGATTACCTTTTAGGTAATTGTTAGTTTTCACAGGTCACAGAGATCATATAGCATTTGTCCTTTTGGACTGACTTATTTCACTATGTGTGATGCTGTTCCATTTTATCCATTTTGTTGCAAACGACAGAATTTCATTTTCTTTATGACTGTGTAGTATTCTAGGGTATACATATCCCATAATTTCTTTTCCCAGCCTTCAGTTGATGGGCATTTGGGTTGATTCTATATCTCAGCTATTGTTGAGCTACAATAAACATGGGGGAATCAATAACTCTTTCATATGCTGATTTCATTTCCCTTGGGAAAATTCCCAGGAGTGGGATGGCTGAATTGTATGATAAGTCTACATTCAGATTTCTGAGGTATCTCCATACTGTCTTCCACAGTGGCTATACCAGTGCACATTTCCACCAATAGTAGATTAGAGTACCTTTTTCCCCACCTCCTCAAAAGCATTTGTTGTTTGTTGGTTTCTGTGTGAAAGCCATTCTGACGGTGCTAAGGTGAAACCTCATTGTGGTTTTGATTTGCTTTCTCTGATGGCTAGTGAACCTGAACATTTTTCATGTGTCTGTTGGCCATTTGGATGCCCTCTTTGGAAAAATGCCTGTTTAAGTCCTTTTCCCATTTCTTAGTTGGGTTGTCTGTTTTGTTGTTGTTGAGTTTCCTGATCTCTGAATATATTCTTGTTATCAATCCTGTATCAGTTGCATAGTTAGTGAATAACTTCTCCATTCTGTTGCCTCTTCACTTTGCTGAGCGTTTCCTTTGCAGTGCAGAAGCTTTTCCATTTAATGCAATCCCATTTGTTAATTTTGGCTTTGATTGCCTGTGCCTCTGGGGTCTTTTCTAAGAACTATGTGGTATGCCGATGTCTCTGCAGGGTTTCTCTAATGTTCTTAATAATTTGATGGTAGTGGGTCATAGATATAGGGCTATAATCCATTCTGAGTGGCTTTTTTGTGTAAGATGTATTGTAGTGGTCTTGCTTCATACTTCTGGATGTGGAGATCCAGTTTTCCCATCATCTTTTGTTGAATAGACTGTCCTTGTCAAGCAATTGATTTTAGCTCCTTTGTCAAAGATAAGTTGGTTGTAGAAGCATCGGTTGATTTCTGGTGTTTCTGTTCTGTTGCATTGGTCTATCCATCTGATTTTGTGCTAGACTAAGGCTGTTTCGATTGTAACTTCCCTGTGGTATAACTGAAATCTGATATTGTGGTGCCTCCAGCTTTGTTTTTGTTGTATAAGATTGCTTTAGCTATTCAAGGTCTCCTGTGCCTCCATATGAATTTCAGCAATGTTTTTTCTTTATCTGAGAACAATTTTCTTGGTATAAGTTTTATTTACATCCCATAAGTTTTTTTAAAGATTTTTTTGGAGTTAGAGTTACCGACAGTGAGAGGGAGCGACAGAGAGAAAGGTCTTCCATGCGCTGGTTCACTCCCCAAAGGCTGCAATGGCTGGAGCTGCGCTGATCTGAAGCCAGGAACCGGGAGCTTCTGCTGTGTCTCCCACATGCGTGCTGGGACCCAAGGACCCGGGCTATCCTGTACTGCCTTCACAGCCCATAGTGAGAGCAGGATGGGAAGAGCAGCAGACAAGACTAGGATCGGTGCCCATATGGTATGATGGCACCACAGGTGGTGGATGAACCCACTGTGCAACAGCGCCAGCCCCTGTTCTTGGTATTCGGATTGGTATTACATTGAATATATACATTGCTTTTAGTAGTATGGACATTTTGATGATATTGATTCTTCCAGTCCATGAACACTGAATATGTTTCCATTTTTTTGTTTCTTCTTCTATGTGTTTTTTAATGTTTTGTAATTTTCATCATAGAGAACTTTAACATCCTTGGTTAAATTTATTCCAAATATTTGATATTTTTTGTAGCTATTGTGAATGGAATTGTCTCAGCCATGGCATTGTCTGTGTATACAAAGGTTATGGATTTTGTGTTTTGACTTTATATCCTTCCACTTTACCAAATTCTTCTATGAGTTCCAATAGCCTGTTAGTGGAGTCTTTGGGATCCCCAATGTATAGAATCATGTCATCTGCAAATAGGGATCGTTTGACTTCCTCCTTCCCAATTTGTATCCCTTTGATTTCTTTTTCTTGCCTAATGGCTCTGGCTAAAACTTTCAGAACTATACTGAATAGCAGAGGTCAGAGTGGTCATCCTTATCTAGTTCTGGATCTCAGTGGGAATGCTTCCAACTTTTCCCTATTTAATAGGATGCTGGCCGTGGGTTTGTCATAAGATGCCATGATTGTGTTGAGGAATGTTCCTTCTATACCCAATTTACTTAAAGATTTCATTATGACAGGTGTTGTATTATATCAAATGCTTTCTATGCATCTATTGAGAGAATCGTGTGGTTTTTGATCTTCACTTTGTTAATGTGCTGTATCACATTGATTGATTTGCAAATGTCAAACCATCCCTGATACCTGGGATAAATCTCTCTTGGTCCAGTTGAATGATCTTCCTGATGTGTTATTGGCTTCAGTTGGCTAGTATTTTGTTG